CCACAGGAAGTGGACCTGGTCGAGCCCCCGACGGTTCGACAAAAAATGAGATTGACTTCATTATGACGACCAGACGCCAACTGTTCAGTGATGTCTCAGTGATCGCAAGGGTGAAAACTGGCAGCGATCACCGAATGGTTAAAGGCACACTGAACCTAAACGTTAAGTTGGAGAGGTCTCGTCCAATGAAGTCAACGCTCCGTCCCCCCTCGTGCTCTGATCCAAAATCCCAAAAACTTTCAGCTCGAGTTACACAACCGCTTTCAGTGCCTACAAGATTGCAATGCAGTGGACGATATGAATGACAAGCTCGTGGAAACTGTCCATGCGGTCGAAGCTAAGTTCTGCAAGACCCGCCGCAGAAGAACACAAAAACTCTCCGATCACACTCTTAATCTCATGGCTGTTAGACGGGAGATGAGGCTGCAATCGTCAACAGATTTGACAGCATACAGGCAACTGAACAGACAGATCTCCAAATGCATGCGGCGAGACTTACGCAACTTTAATACTGCTCGTATTAAAGAAGCGATCGAGCGGAACCAGGGCTCCAAAGTCTTTGCCAGAGATCAGTCTGCCAGAAAGAGCCAACTGTCAAGGCTGAAGACTGAGTGTGGCAGCATCGTTTCCGGGACACCTGAGATTTTGAGTGAGATTGAGAGGTTCTATGGGCAGCTGTACACTATCCAACTGCAGAGAGGTGTAAGACAGGGTGACGTTATATCCCCGAAACTCTTCACCGCTGCTTTGGAAGATGTTTTCAAGCTACTGGACTGGAAAGGATACGGTATTACAATAATGGCGAGTACATCACTCACCTTCGATTTGCCGACGATATAGTCCTTATGGCAGAATCGCTGGAGGACTTAAGCACTATGCTCAATGACCTCAATAGTGCCTCCCAACGGATAGGTCTTAAGATGAACATGGACAAAACAAAGATTATGTTTAATGTCCATGTCACACCTATGCCGGTAGTTGTTGGGAGCACTATGCTCGAAGTTGTTGACGAGTACGTTTACCTGGGACAAATATTCCGACTAGGTAAGTCCAACTTCGGCCGAGAGGTCAATCGACGGATTCAACTCGGCTGGGCAGCGTTCGGGAAATTACGACATATCTTCTCGTCAGGTATACCTCAATCTCTGAAAACTAAAGTGTACAACCAGTGCGTGTTGCCAGTGATGACTTACGGATCAGAGACGTGGTCCTTCACTGCTGGCCGTATGAGGACGCTCAAGGTCGCTCAGCGAGCTATGGAGAGGGCTATGCTCGGAGTTTCTCTGCGTGATAGACTCAGAAATGAGGATATCCGCAGTAAAACCAGATTGACCGACATAGCCCAACGGATTAGTAAGCTGAAGTGGCAATGGGCCGGCCATATAGCTCGAAGAACCGATAACCGATGGGGAAGAAAGGTTCTCGAGTGGCAGCCTCGTACCGGTAGGCGTAGTGTAGGGCGACCCCCCACTAGATGGAGTGACGACCTGGTAAGATATGCAGGAAGTCGATGGATGCAGGTGGCTCAGGACCGTGCTTTGTGGCATTACTTGGGGGAGGCCTATGTTCAGCAGTGGACTTGTGAAGGGCTGTGATGATGATGATGATGATGAAATGCTAAATTTTCCGCAAAAAGGACCCTGAATCGAAAAAATTGTTGTTCCATACCCTTGTTTTTGAAAGGCACACACTCAACACAAGTTAATAAACTCATCCTCCATATGGATGGGAGTTTCCCCAAAATAAAAATGTTTTATAAGAGTTTATTTCACAGTTTTGCACGCGTGATAAATATTTTTAACTATGCCAAAACACAGATTTTTATGACTTATTGTCTCTGAATGAAACTGTGGATGGATGAACGAACGGACATGGCAAAACTATAAGGGTTCCTTGTTATTTATGATGATACACAAGTTGCGTTGGGATATTATAAGATTACCTGTGGTCCGAAGATAGGAAAAGGACACGGCAATTCATAAAACCGGCACCTTGTTCTATAACCAGGAGGGCGACCATTTGTTCCAAGAAGGCAACAGATTTCTCGACCTGAGACGCATAAGGTCGGATTTCAAGATCGAAACAAATTAAATTTAATAGTCAGCTGAAACCAGTATCTCGCGCTCTTTCTAAGCATATAACAATCCTCATTCTATATATTTTCGTTCTGATAGATTTACAAATGCATAAGGTCAAATATGTCGAGTTTTTGCATTTATATCGTGCATTAAGTCTTGATAAGAACTACAGTATTTATGCTTAAAATTTTGGTATAACTAGAAGGTCGAAGATTGACTTCAGTTTTTATACTTTTAAATTATTTTACGCGTTAGGCAGAGTCTATTTGGTCATTCGAATTTTTCTACGAGGATTGTTGGTAAAAATAATATGTATTTTCAAATAGAACTTTATGTCTTTTGAAATTAAATAATCATATGTCGTACCTTGAGATATACCGTTATGCCTCAAAAATTTTATTTTTACGTTTAAGGTCTACAAACAAAAGTGCTACTTTATTGTTGTACAGAAATGCACATGTGAAAAAAAAACATTATGCCATTGATTTTGTGACCGCACACCGATGCGATATTGTAACATCGGACATTATCGTCGGTCACTCGGTCGTTTTCGGCGCCAAGGTGGTTTAATCTATCAGCGCATCGCATCTAGCACGTGTCGTATGCGTTTGTTTTGTTTACATGAATGTAAGTTATTATTCACGCGTGAGTCGTAACGAAATAGCAGTGAACTTAATTACTTCTGATTCAATTAATAATTAATTGAAAGTGAACTAGTGGTTATTATAAAAATAATATAGTATACTAAGCAATGGATAATGCAGATCAGGTGAGTACAAAACCTATAAATATGTACTATTTTATTTTTATAGGATAGGATGACAAACGAGCACACTGTTCACCAGATGGTAAGTGGTTGCTGTGGCCCATAGACATCTACATCTATCCTTGTTTGCGAATCAAAATGCAGATGCGTTGTCACCCGTGAAGACTAAGATGAAATGCCTCTTTTCAAGTAAAAATGGTCTCCGGCTCTCTACACTCACCATACGAAACACAGCAGCGGTAAGCTGCTGTTTAACGCTGGTATGGTGGCTGTGAGAGCGTGGTCCTTCCCCGGTCGAACCGACCCATTCGTGCTACAATTATACTACTAATATAGCTGCAGCATGGCTCTACCACGTAATACTAAATACTATGTTTTATAATGTCGAATCGTGTGGTGCGGGTCAGTGATTTTATTGGTTATAGTATTTAAACATTTTGTAAACTTAATTAAGTATATACTTTGGTTTTTTCCAGAATGTTATTATCACCCAGTTACTCAATAAATGACGTAAACTTGCCAATCTTCGAAATTTGATTCAGTCCTTCAGTGATCAAGCTAAAGCTAGCCAAAGAGGTGCTTTAATGGCTGGTAAGTTAATTACTTACAATTCTACTCGTTTTAGAAGCAAATGCTTTAAAAACCTAAATATATAAGTTACAACTGTTTTACATTTAATTTTTCTTTTTATAGAGAAAAAGACACGAGATCTGTACGAGGATTGGAGAGACACTATCCTAGAGCAGGACCAAGTTATTGTGATAAGATGATAGGACATGCAGTCGCTGCGCGTAATATTTGTAAGTGCCTGTTTAGGTAAGTACCCACTTACTTTTTTTATAGGAAAGGGGGGCAATCGAGCGTGCGGCTTACCCGATGGTAAGTGACTACCGCCGCCCATGAACAACTGCAACACCAGGGGAATTGCAGATGCATTGCTGGCCTTATAAAAAGGTGTAGACTCTTTTCTTGAGGGCCCCTAAGTCGTATCTGTCCAGAAAACTTCCTTTAAATCGCACAGTGGTGGACCGTCAGTCATCCAGATGGTATGGATGGTATCGCGAGTTTTGTCGAGATGTGCAGTGTTGAAATTGAGTGGCTGGAATTAGTTCGAACAATTCCTCAGAGACTCCCCTGTAGATGCGATAAAATACGCAAAGAGATGCAACATCTCTACGCAGTGCCAGAGAGTCAAGCCAATCGGAAAAACTCGGTCGTCGACAATTTGAACCACTCTGCGCTGGATGCGGTCAAGTTGAAGGAGCTGGCACTGCGGAGCCCCTGCCCAGAGATGGGAACAGTATATCATGTGGGGCCTAACCTGCGCCTTGTAAAGTTGCAAGCGTGTACCGGTATGAAATACTGTCCCGCTCTTCTGAGCACGCCTAGCTTTTTAGAGGCCAATTTGGCCTTCTCTTCCAAATGAACATTAAACTGCACATCACTCGACATGTCGACACCGAGAATTACTTTAATTAATTATTTTTCCACTTGTTGTTCTATGAATGTCAGTTTAATAGTATTTATTAAAATCCATGTCCATAGTAAAACCGTATCATATAAATTCGTAGTATCTGTGTTTGTCAGTTTGTTTGTAATTCTTTTATGGCTAAAGCGGTAAACCAATTGGGAAGACATTTTGAGCAGGGATACTAGGATCCGGGGAGGACATCAACTCTATTTATACTATATGCGAACGAAGTCACGATAGTAATATATAAAAATGCAGTATAATAAATAACTGTACCTTCTTATATTATCGATTAGAAACAAAAAAATAATTTTCAAATCAGTTAAAATTTAATTTGATATTTAAAATTGTTAATTGCCAATTGTTATGTTATGTTAATTATTTACATAAGTACAAAATAATATTATTTTGTAGATCCGAGCACAAATTTCCGATTACGATAGTGATGATACCATAAAGACAAGACTTATGAACCACATAAAGATATTTCGGATGACAGCTACGTCTGGGATTCGCCAGAAAAAGTATTCGTAATATCCAGGTTTTTAAAAGTGAAAAAAAAGCTTTCTTTTTCAGAAGAATCGCCACAAAGTCAAAGAAAAATGACAAATAATGAAGATAATAATCAGAAGATTTTCTAAAGTAATTAACTTTAGACAATCTTCTACGTCCAAGAAAAGAACGCATGTCTGCAACTTCAGTTTTTTGTGAAAGTTCTAAAGAACACGACCGTTTTTCTGCTACCATGACTAGGAAAATAATTCCTACTGTTTATTTTTCAATAGACAACCTTAATAAATCTTCATTATTTGATCAATGTACTCCTAAATTAGCGAATCCCAACAATATGATTATGGTTCAAGAACCGGTGAGTACATCTGCTAATAAGAATAATTACCTTGGAAACTGTAATTTAAAAGACAGGGATCCTACAAAAGGCTTTTTAACTCTACCAATTTTTGATGAAAGTATTATTTTTGATGCTACTATGAATGAAAATATAATTAACTCTAACGGAGTTATGGTTGCAGATATGAATGGGAATATAGATGTACCAGTTGACAGAGAGATAATAAATAATGAAGAAATAAAACAGATCGGTACAGCAGCCCTTTCAAAATCTAACACAAGAAAGAAAGTTAAGAATGTAACTAAATGGAAAAGAGTTGCCGCTAAAATTGCACGGCTGAAAGTTTCTCCCTATCACTCAACTGTAGCTAAAAAAGAACTGAAATAGACGGTCGTGAGTTGAAACCCCCATGTACGTGTAAATTTAAATGTTATGAGAAAGTGCCAAATGAAACAAGAGTGAAAATATTTATTGAATTTTGTAAAAACGTACTAGTTGGGATCTACGTCGCCAGTTTATAGTCTCTAACGTCACAAAAAGAAAACTAAAACGCATGATAAGAACAGATGGGAACTTACACACTGACCGAAGAAAAATTTCTTACGAACATAGACTAATTGTCGATTCTAAGAGTGAAAAAATATGCCGGAATATGTTTCTTAATATGCTTTTTATAGGAGAAAAATTTGTTAAGGTGAGCTTGGAGAAACAATTCAATGGAGATCTGGTAGCTCCAGATCAGAGGGGAAAGCATATTCCTGTTACTAAATCATCAGATGTGGTAGTCAAATCAGTGATAGATTACATTAACTTATATCCATGTTATGAGAGCCATTATTGAAGACAAAGGAGCGGATGAAAATTTTTAGGGCCGGACTTGAATATCCCTACTATGTATAAACAGTATAAAGAAATGATGGAAACTAAAGAGATCCCTCCTAATTTGGTGGCCAAAGAATGGCTGTACCCAAACATTTTTAACACCAAGTTCAATTTAAGTTTCAAACTACCGTCAGTCGATACTTGTGATGATTGCGATGCATTTGTGAGAAAGCTATTAGATGTTGTGGATGAAGAACTGAAAAGAAATATAGTAAAAGAAAAGGGAATTCACGCCGAGGCTGCTGAAGAAAGATATTACTTGAAGAGTATTAACAAAAAAAGAAGCTGAAGCAAGTTTGGGTGAAAAAAAGTACTGATGTTTAATTTGCAGATGTGTTTGGCCACGCCAAATTTAACTAATAGTAAATCTTTTATCTACGAAAGCTTTGGACACTATATTTGACAATATTTGATTCAACAGCTAATAGCGCTGCAAACATTTTATGGTCTGAAAATATAGGTGGCAGAGGAGGAAACGAAATAGCTTCTTGTCTGATTCGATGGGTAAAAGAAAATAGCGAAAAACTTACTAAACTAAGAGAATTAACTCTGTGGTCCGATAACTGTGCAAGTCAGAACCGAAATTTGATAATCGTGATGGCTTACATGTGGATATTGCACAAACACCCTCAGCTGAAAATAATAAACCATAAATTTATGCTGAAGGGTCCTACATCAGGGACACACATGGAAGTCGATCAAATACACTCACAAATCGAAAAAAAGAAAAAAAAAAAACAAGTGAAAACAATTCAGATTGCAATACCCCGAGACTGGTCTCAATTTATTCGAACTTGTGGAGGAAAGAGAACTTTTAACGTCTATGACATGCAACTTTATAATTTTAAAGATATTACATGTTTGTATAAGAAAAATGGTCCTTTTGTTTCTAGAAAGAAGAATAAAGATGGTAAGGATTTTAGAATATCAGAATGTGTTTGGCTTCAAGTTAAACAAGACCAGCCCGGAATACTATTTTACAAAAATACATTCGAAGGAGATTTTTGCGAAATATTTTTCATCCGAAATGCTTTTAAGCGGATTCAGTTACCACAAAATTTACCTAGTGTAAGTCAAAGTGAAAAATCCATATCTACTGCAAAATACAATGATTTGATGAGTCTTTTACAATGGATTCCACATGAATTCCATACATATTATAAAAATTTAAAACATTTGGAGAATGAGGCAGATTATCCTGAAATTTTTTGAATTTAATAAGTAATTTTAATAATTTTTACTGAGAAGAGTATAATTTTATGTATTATGTAGTTTTGATTATTTTTATAATTAAATTTTGTTAATTTTGACCTTATGTTCTTCATAATATATAATTTAAATGCTACATACATAGCTATCATAACAAGATTGGGCTTAATTAAAGTTCTATTTTTTGACAAACATAATGTTACATGTTGTAAAAAAGCTTATAATACACATTCAATTTACCAAAAAATTGCAGGCATAAAGTTGGATCACTACGTTGAATTAAAATGATCCGTCTTTTTATAACTCTTTACGAGCATAAAGTTGGATGTCACCAAAAACGTAGTTTTTGTTTAATAAAATATATTATTATTCTGTGACTAGTTTTATTACTAAATTAATACAAAGTTCCAAAACTTGTCCTCAGCATTTTACTACTTTTGTTAGCTTTATCGAAAATAAACAATAGAGTTGATACGATTTCATCAAAAAAATTATTTTGGCTCTCCTGTAAACTTGTTAAATTCCATATCCGACCTAATGCGTCTCAGGTCGAGATGTATCGTCCACAATTCTCTCGTGAACAACGTTGTAAAGATTTCGAGTTTGTCGACGAGGGTTGCACACCTTAGACTAAGAATCACCAAAAGGTATTTGCTTAAGATTTTTGTACTCTGCTTGTTTATTTTGACTGCTGTACTGAATAGCTAATTATCACGTTGGTAACTTTGCGCCGGTCCTCTGCAAGTTTCACTGTGATTTTCACTCAAAACCGCTAAAATTTGCACTAACGTTGCCGACATGCTGTATAAATAGTCCAAAACTCAACAAGCTATTCAAATAAACATTGAATTTACCAAAGAAGAGAAAAGTACAAGACCCTCAGCTAGGAACCAACACAATTTTATATTATGCTAGAATCATTCATCATACTCAGATTGTCAAGCACATGTGTCCCCATAGCAGGGGAGCAGGGCATAATTTTTCTTGTCGGACAGCGGTTTAGATTGCTTCACGATTGACTAAAGTATCTTGAAAAATGAGAGATTTATATATTGGTTTCTTATCAGAATGGGATATTAAAATTACCGTATACCTTATGCATTTTCTTATTCTATGCGCCAAGTATGAACAAAGATTTGTTAAGAATATTTATTGAGTTGACAAGCAAGAAAAAATCGTATGTGAGGAATCTGATGAACCAGCATGACATTTCTGTAATTGCACCTCTGTTTACAGATACCCTTGGTTCTGAGTAAATTATGACACTTGCTTTCTTTTTTATTGACTTCGATTTTGCTAGCCGTTTGGTACTCCAGTCGCCTGAAAAACAAGGACAGGTCCACCAAGCTCAAGTTGCTTACCCACGGTCTCTACTTCGAGGATTTTGATTTGTTTATGTCATTTAAAAATATTAGTGAAGGTTTTCATATATAATATACTCTACACACTATGTGTTATGTTGAATATATTTTCTATTTACAACACTATGTGGGTGAATCACTTCCGTACAAAGCCGGAGGAGTCGCTTGTGAAACGCAGAGGAAAAACTAATTTCCCAATTTATAATTAAGTTTACTTTATTTGTTAGAATTATACAAAAATAGTATTTTGCCTTATTTAGTATTTAGTCTGACTAATACTTAGAACCCATCAAGTAAATAAACCGTCTTGTGGTAGCGTTAGAACATTCACTACCCCATAATGTCCGGAATGTGTGGTAAGAAGTGACAGAGGAAAACAAGTCAGGAGTTGGCAGCAGCATCTTCCTAATAACAACTGAAAATAAAAACTGCGGTTGCCAACACGCCTGCCAACCCACCTGCCAAGCGTGGCGACTATGCAATACTTCAATGCATTTCATTGGGTAGGCTTAGGTTCAGCAGTGTACATTTAATTTATCTGTAATAGTTACGATTATTAAAAAAAATTAAGAAAAACATGTTTCTGTAAGATTTATTCATAAAAAGTTACGTAAGCCAATAATACATAACATTTTCATCTCACATACATTCCTTTCCAATACAAAACATAATAATATTATGGGCCAAGATTTCCTTAAACATTGCTATGTGGTTCTAAGGTTCTCTTTGATTATTTGAAACAGAAACAGTTGGAATACAAAGGTAAATAGTATCGCCCTGAGCCGCTCAGAACTTTCTAAGAACTTGTTTATTCAACTTTGGTGCACAAAGTTTGGTGTTTGTGTTTCTAGTTATTTATACTTTAGCTGAATACACGATTAACGTATCAAAAAAAAAAAAAACAAATGAATACATAACTAGATTTGTTCCTGGATCAAAATATTATACGATGTTAACAATCAAATATTTTTTTCTGTCTTCTAATAAAATAGGCCAGTAGCAATTTGTATTTGGGAGGAATGCGATTGTATGATGTTTTTCCATATTTTAAATTCTAATAGCGCGAGATTAGTGCCTAGCCAGTTATAAGTTAATTAAAGTTTTTAGCTCATTTTAGTAACATCTTCTGCCTCCACTGAGACTTCAAAGTTTAATGTTTTACCGAAAAATAGCATGTTTGGTCGAAGATAAAAATTGAATAAGAATGAAATAGATGTAATAAATAAAACTCAATGATATAATTAGAATACTTATAATGTAATTTAATAAAAAAATGAAAGAAAATGCTATCATATATTTTAAAAAAAAAATCGTCATTTTGCCTTAAAATCTCTCTTTGTCTCGAATTTTGGCATATTATTATGGGATGCCAATTTGAATTTTATGAGATCTAATCGTGATGAATCCTTACATTGAGAAATGTCCAATTCTGTCGTCAATTTCACAGCTCGCTCGACAGCTTGGTTATGACATGAGAGACGTAAAAACAAAAATTCACCTTCACCACCAGATTGGACTATTTGCTGAATTTCTTGGTCACTTACGTTCTTCGTAACCATTATATGGGGTGGACTGTTGCACAACGACTATTCTCATATTAGGGACTTATGATAATAAGGTTACGAGCTTGAGGTTCGTGACAATAAAAACTGCCGATTGAATTACCAAAATTAACTCTTTAATTCACTTTACACTAATTAAAACTTAGAACACTAATCTTTTCAATTAACCACACTGATTCACTTTATTTCGCTCCGAAGCTTCGCTTGTCTCGCCGAATTCACTAATTCCTCGATCGCATCTTGCAGCGCCTTTAAATACAAATTATTAACGAAACATCCAGAATATTCAACTAAATACGCACGCCAATCGACAAGGCGTCGAAAGTTCGAGTTTCGGGCTTCTAGAAGCTTAGTTCTTCGTTTCGATACTAGA